TTTCTTTCTTTCTTTCTTTCTTTCTTTCTTTCTTTCTTTCTTTCTTTTTTCTTTCTTTCTTTCTCTCTCTCTCTCTCCTCCCCCCCTCTGTCTCTGTGTAATTTATAAGACAGGTGTGCACACAATCAGTTCTGCAAGTTTGCCACGGATTTCGCCTTATGTAATTTGGAACAATTCAAGCCTACTTTCTGAACCTGGATCTAAGTCTATCAAATTTAAAAATTCAGGCAAAATAAATCGCTTGACTATTCCTACATTACTATTTATTATGTACTTACCTCTATATCTCAAAGTAAGTGAAATGGTATCTTTTCTGGTTTACAAAAGTTGGAAGTTAATGCAACATTTGACATTTTTATTATTGCAACATGGTAAAATCAGAGGATAAAATATGTATTTGTAAATGCCTGTATATTATGCATATACTTGCGAAGCATGTCCTTATAAAACCTGCACCTCATACTTTGCTATATTTTTTGTATTAAATACAGCACTGTGGTGAAACTGTAATATATGTATCTGCATTTTTACATATTGGTGTATATTATTATAAGCATATTTTTTTAAAGAAGCAAGTAGCTCTTGGCTATTTGGATAATTATTTTAACTTATTCTTGGAGAACTGCTTCAAAATCAGCTGCTGTCCAACAAACACTAGCTAAAAACCAATCTACATAGGTGTTTTAAATTATGTGCAAACTATTGAGATGATGAATAAAAAGAAAACTGCAATCCAGACCAAATTGCAGTGCAGGTATAAAATAGATTTCACTTCAACTCCTTGTGCTTTTTTTATTGAAAATATCACCCTTGAATCTGTACCTACTATCCCATTCCTTATATAAAGTATTTTTGCTATTTGGGATGAAGGTCAAAGAAAAAAAGCTAATTATCCCTCTCTATGTTTCATTCTTTGTGGTGGTGTTGCCCGGAAATGCATCCATTCAAAAGAACTGTATAAAGTCTCACCCAGACTGTTTTTTAAAATATGATACTGTAAAGTGTATTGTGTAGTATAATTCTAAAACAAGTGTTGATAACTTGATAACTAACTTTATTGTAAAGCACAAGTTTTTCACAACTTAATACCCTGGGAGAAAAACATTTTATTTTCTAAAATTGTAATGTCCTTTTGCCTTGGAAATTTAGTTTTGCTTTCTACACAAGAATATACTCCTCTCCCCACCATCACATTTAGGAAAAAACTGAATTAGATTTTTTTTAAAAGAAGCTTGTTAACCATGAAACACACACCCATAACACATAATATTTAAAAAATTAACTTTTTTCTTATTGCTCATCAGTTAAGATTTTATCAGATACAAAAACTTTGATATTGTTACATTGTTTCAGAGGTGGTATTCAGCAGGTTCTGACCAGTTCTGGAGAACCGGTAGCGGAAATTTTGAGTAATTCGGAGAACCGGCAAATACCACTTCTGACTGGAGTATCTTTCTCCTGCCACGTCCACCAAGCCATGCCCACAGAACCGGTAATAAATTTTTTTGAATCCCACCACTGCAGTTTCATATTCTGTGCTGTAAGAAGAGCATTCCCCAGTCCATAAATACACATGCAGGGAGGAACTAAGTCGCCGTCTGTATGATACACATGTATTTCACATGCACTGTGTTGATCACATGCGCTGAATTCATATTCTTTAAAGCTAGGATGCCCAACCCTGGCAACTTTAAGACTTATGGGCTTCAACTCCCAGAATTCCCCAGCCTGGCTGGCTGGGGAAGTTCTGGGAGTTGAAGTACACAAGTCTTAAAGTCTCCAAGTTTGGAGATCCCTGATCTAAAACATATTTTGTACAAAATGTTCAGAATTTATCCATGACACTCCTTGTCTTTTTTAATCTTGAGACCCTGGGGGTGACTGGGTCCAAACACACTAAGTACTAGCTAATATTGTGTAAATGTATTCTGCCTCACTCCTGGCTCTTAAATAACATATCCTCCATTTCACAAAAAACAAAACTCTCCAACTTTTCAGGGATTATTTGGTGCAGCAAGTCTTAAAGAAAATGAAAAATATGGCTTCTTTCCTCAGTCTGTCATTAGAATTTTCTCCTCCAAAACTTCTACTATGATTAGAAAAAGCCTTCCATATCTAGGCTGCACATTCCTAAATTCAATGCCAGCATCATATAATTAAAGGATTCTCAAGGTGCATGGTTTATTTGGAAAACATTTTATAAGTTTAGCTTAAAAATAGAATTATCTGGGGACCATAGATCTCATAGCCAATAAGGGCATCCAAGGAGGAGCAAGAGAGGTAAGTGATGAAGTATATGCCATAATGTCATAGCATAAATCCTGCAACTTCTACACAATTACATAAAGGTGATTTTGCCTCCTGACATTACTGTGGCTTGTGGTAGATTCTGGTGTTTATAGTCATGGCAGGCATAATCTATTCAAATAGAGAACAATTTCTGATTCTTACCACTTGCATATTTTCCTAATTGTATTTTGTCTTCCGGTACACTTTTTGTGAAATTCTCACTTGTTGTGCACTGTTGCTAGGGGAAGGAATAGGGGCTAAAGAACTACAAAACATGAAGCACCTGTTTTATTCTAGTGCATTGGAATCCTACCTGAGGACCTCTGTTTTTGTAAGGGAACATGAAATGTCAATTTTAGCCACAAATAAAACAATGAAACACATGGATGAGTGATACAGCTTCATGAAAAACAGCTCAGTATATGGCCAGCATGTCAAGAAAGGAATTGGCTATTCTATGCAATACACCAGAGCTGTAATTTAGAGCTGGGGTATTCAAGAGTCTGGTTACTTGGGGACTGCAGGGTGAGAAGTAGATGAGATAGAAATTGAATGGAAATAGATAGAAATTGGTTGTGCAATACCAGGGACAGGTTTTTCTTTTTTTGTCTGCTTCTTTTTTGCGGTTTTTAGGATTTTCTTTGTTTTTCTAAAACCATGTCAAGCCTATTTGGAAACTTTTTCTACAATTTTAAACCAATATGTTCTGGCCTTAAAATGGCAGGAAACCATGCTACCCCAATTGGTAGTAGGAGAAATCTGGTCTGTTCCTGTTCATCTGATGTAGAGCAGCCTCAGCAAGGGGAAAGTTATCAAATATGGATCTTACAAAGGACAGGGACTTGCATCAGAGGGGAACTTAAATAGTAGGGAAAGTGTGATTTTGTTAATCTTTGGCTTCATTTCCTGACTTAATTTCTTCATATCTAATACTCTAACACAGTTCTTAGCTCTTGTGTAACTGCTGCTTTCTGTTGATTGATTACGCTCATTCCACAATACAAGCATTGAGTAGTATAACTCCAGCAGGTGGTTACAGATGGTATGATATTATTGTGCCCCATGATCTATTTCAATGGATGAAAGAGAGATATTACAAGAGATAAGATATTCATATTTTTGAATTATCAGGATAGAATTCACTGATGATTACATATCCATCATGCACAATGAGAGAGAAAAATAAAATAATTCCTTTTTCCCATTAGCATATTATATATGGATCTGCTGGAAATCACCAATGCAGAAGTTCAAGAGTCAAGTACTATGTCTGGATAATTTTATGACCATTAATAACATTTGTAGCTAGGCAAGCCTAGATTGGGGGAAAGGTTAATTAAATTTCATGCCTGAGGTCATAGGCCAAGTTCCAGCAAGAGACAAGAAGGAATTTCTGTCCACTCTATGTAACTACATAATTGCCTTGGACCATTTTACATATCTTCACAATATAGGATTTTGATGGTAGATGATGGTAGGAAACAAGCTAGGCTAGGCACATCCCTTCTTTTTTTTTGAATGAAATTAGCCAATGATTCTTACAAATGAGTGAGTGTGAAAAAACACAATACCCCTCATTGAAGTACAATGTAAGATTAATCTTTCATGTTATCTAACTGTGTATTTAGTGTATTTTCATTAACTATTGAAAAATAAAGACCACAAAGAGACCAAAGTTATAATTATATTAGAAAGCTGACAACTTACCTGAAAAACATTGTATTCTCAATTGTTCAAAATATTTCCCAATCTCCCTCTCACTTTTTCCTGATTAGTAGCTTCAAATAAACCTCTTTTTTTAAAAAAAAAAAAAAAATCTGTTTTATCCTAAATGGAGGAAAAATACAGATGCCCAGAAGCCAAAAGGAAATGTAATGTTGTTGCCCAGGCAAAACACAACTGAACATTTCCACATGATTTTTTACATGCACAAATATATGCAGCCCAATTAATAGATCAAGGTAATTCACATTAAAAAATGTGTTTTCCATGTGCAGTACATTTGGGGACAAAAACAGCTAATGGTGCAAGTCTTTGGCAAGAACCAGTATAAAAAGGAGAGGTTTAAATTTTGTGCATTAAGTGCGTGTCTTTTCTGGAACAATGCCACAGCCGATATTTTCCTTTAAAAAAAAATGTCCTATTTGAGGGACTGCCTCTCCCTGGTTTCATCTGTTCGCCCTACCTGATCTAGTAGGAAGTATGTTATGGGTTTCATTGTCTAGGGAACTACATTTAACAGGTTGTATGCAGCAGTTCTTCTCTTCAATAGTGCCCTCATTGTGAAATTTCCTCACCTCTCCTAAGATGATGTCAGTCCCATCTCTTCTCAGCTATCAAAAGTCCCTCAAGGATTTGTTGTGTCAGCAGTCCTGAGGACCCCAGGGGATGGATGAGCTAATGAGGTGCCTCCACTATTGTTAACATGGCTTCATCTTCTTTTTACTTCAGCTCAGATTTTTTTTATAGTTTTAGATGTTTTATTTGTTAACAATTATAATATTGAACTTTAGTATTTATTGTTTTCACATTGTAAACTACCCAGGGTCATTTGTTTTGAGAGATGGGTGACTATGTAAATTATATAAGTAAACTAATAAATACATGCTTTTTTACTGCCTAACGTATCTATGACTCTGGGCAGTAGCTTATAATTTTTTTTAAAAAAAATTGCATTTAAAAAGAAGATGATTGACTAAAAGAACAAACATTGTGCAGTCCTTGGTGCTGAGCTTAGATGTTTCATTAGTCAACTAGGTCAGGGGTCTCCAACTTTGGCAACTTTAAGACTTGTGGACTTCACCTCTTTGCTGGTTGAGGAATTCTGGGAGTTGAAGTCCACAAGTCTTAAAATTGCCAAGGTTGGAGACCCCTGGGCTAGATAACATGATCATTGACGTTACCTAGCTGACTAATGAAAATTATGCACCAAAATACCAAGGATATGCAGCTCACAGTTCAACTCTGAGCTACATATATTGTTTTCTACTTGGAGACAATAAAGAGCTAAAAAGTAAACAAAAGGACCAGAACTCATCCCAAAGGTGCTTCTTCAAGAGGCAACTGGATTTTCTTCTTTTTCTTTGAGGACATTTCACTTCTTGATGCAGACGCTTCTTGGATGGGAAGTGAAACATCTTCAAAGAAAAACAAGAAAGTCCAATTGCCTCTTGAAAAAGCACCTTTGGGACAACTATGAATTGGATGTCTGAGAAGCTCCATAGACCAGCATTTCATGATGAAGAAAGATAAGTCCTAAATGTACTAAATAAGTATAAATAGTTAATCAGCTTGGCTTTGTTTTTGTTTGTTTTTTCAACCAGTGACTTGGATTTTTATACAACTCATGTGAATTTGGCATTAATGCAACTGGATTTAAGAAATAACACACCTATAATTGACCAAATACATGTAATGTTTATGTTTGCTCCTTTACCATCTAAATACAGTCTCAGCCTGGAATGCTGTTTTGGAATGGAGGTTTTACAATATTGTACATAATTTTAATTACCATTTTAGGATACTAATTGCCTCCAAATGTATTTCAGAAAGCAACTTTGATACACAAATCTTTCATCAAATAGACTTTCTTTCAATTTTGCCATTTCTTGGAGCAACTTAACTGTCATAAAACAGAAAAAGAGGATTTGGTAATTGAGTCTTAGTTCCATATTGTATATGAAATTAGAAGTAGTTGTTTCCTGTAATTCAAAGCCAACAATGTTGACTATTAACAGGAATAATAAACAGAACTGGCCCTAGTTTTATATCCCAGAATTGCCCTGAAAATAATCATTTCCAGCAAGATCTTTTCATTCACTATATCCCTCTCAAGGGGATTTAAAAAAAAACAACCCCAACTAAAATTTAATTAATAGAGTTTAAAATATGTTCTATATCCTTCAGCCATCTTTCTAGTGCAAGAAGATCCAAAGGCTGACAAACAAACTTTGCAAGTTTAATTAACACAGTACCATTTTAATTGCTCACCCATAAATATCAGAAAAGAAAACGTACAAGAAACTTGAAGTTAGCCTGCTATTGCGCACAAAAGCTGACCTACTGTGGCAACATATTTACAGTATGGTGCTTTACATTCCTTCTGAACACAAATGCCATTGCACATGGAATATAAATGGACATGGACCAATGTACTGGGTTCAGCAAGTGAATCCTCCTTCAGTTTCCCCATGCCTTCCCTTGTCTTTATATAGAAGGAAACTAACAATGAAAATCAATACTACAGCAGATTGTCTTTTTAAATGCAAGCAGCAAGACAAAGAGCTAGAAATCTATTCAATTATATTCAAAGCTTAAGAGGAAATTGGAGTGGGTGGGGGGAGGTGAGGAGAGCACCTACAGCCATTTATAATTATTGATATCACAGGGACATGCTAATTTAATGACTTACCTATCCAAGCTCCCAACTCTGGCAACTAGATAGAGAAGGCTTCCAATAGCAAGGCTGCCTAGCACAAGGAGCTTCTGTCTCAGCAACGCCTGCTGTTTGAATAGCATGGCCCTCCATCAATCTTCAGGACTTCTTCAGTCTGCAGACACCAAAAATATATAAACCATTCCTGAGCAAGAGGCAACATACAGATAAATGTTTATTAACAGGCAGTCAAACAGTTTCTGTTTTCATATAGTATCAAACTAAGAATTTACTATATTCCACGAATCCTGTAATTAATGGATAATGTGCCAGATTTTAGGGCTTCCAAATTCAGACTTGCATAAAGTCCTTGGTAGGGTTTCTGTAAGGTCAGCAGACTTATCAGTTTCACAAGATTTTTTGAGCAAACAAATTCCACCTGCATTTTTCTGACATCAGTGTATGTATTAAGGGAAGGCAGAGAAGGAACATAGAAATATGTAAATATTTTGCTTTATAGCTTTTGTTTCAGTGGGAACAAATTAGGTGTTTTGATGATAAATTGCTTGTATGTGGGTCAGGTCAAATTATTACAATGTGAGACTGATGGGATGAATTAAAATCCAGTATGGATAAGCAAAAACTCCTGCACCACAAGACTTGTCACTGTTTTATTCATATACCGTTTCCCCCAGCAAGAGTTATTTCTACTGCCAAAGTCTCATTTACGAGAGCTCAGTTTAACATCCTTCCAAACCATCCATGATGTCCTTCCATTCTCCTTTGTCGCTTACCTACATACTAATTTACTCATGAGTCTCTTCTAATCAATGTGCCTGTCACTGTAACATCTGGTTTGGTCCTTAGCTAGCTGGCTATAACATGTCCTTTGAGTTCTGGCAACTCAAAGAATAAATTAATTTTAAAATGGGGATTACAGCATTAGATTAAAGAGTGTTAAAAGGTTGGGGGAGACAACTTGGTAAGATTATGTATTATGTGAGATAATATAAACATTACACACAAATACATTTGTGTTTGGTGGGCCAAGAGGTAGCACAAACATGTCTTAATGAAAGAATGCGTAACATTACTTTTATATCCCTGATTGTCTGCATAGACTGGAAATAATGACTTCAGGAGGTTCTGAAGATGGTAGGTGGTCATTTCAGGCAACTGGATCACTCAAATGTTTAAATTCCTGCTTCTAATGAACATGCGAAGGAGTTCTAAATAGAATGGTTGATTTAGTTCTATTATGACACTTTTAAACTGCAGAGCTACATTTCCAACCATTATTTTGATTTAAAATGTAGTTTTCTTTTGTTTTCATAATCAGTTCTGACCCAGGAAAGGGTTCTATTGTAAAAAAAAGGCTATCTTCAGAGATTCATAGATTAAAACATTTAGCTTGATCCCCCCCACCCCAAAAATCTATTATCTATCTATATCTATCGATCTATTGATCTATCTGTCTATCTATCTATCTATCTATCTATCTATCTATCTATCTATCTATCTATCTATCTATCTATCTATCTATTTATCTATCTATCTATCTATCTATCTATTATCTATCTATATCTATCGATCTATTGATTATCTATCTATCTATCTATCTATCTATCTATCTATCTATCTATCTATCTATCTATCTATCTATCATCTATCTATCTATCTATCTATCTATCGATCTATCTATCTATCTATATCTATCGATCTATCAATCTATCTATCTATCTATCTATCTATCTATCTATCTATCTATCTATCGATCTATCGATCTTTCTATCGATCGATCTGTCTGTCTGTCTGTCTGTCTGTCTGTCTGTCTGTCTGTCTGTCTACCTATCTATATCTATCTATCTATCTATCTATCTATCTATCTATCTATCTATCTATCT